CTGTAGCCATTTGGTGACATAAGGGAGCAAAAGGCTGCTAGTGTGTTGGTCACTAATGCGCCAAGTTTCAGGTACCTTGAAGTGTTTAGTCTCCTGTGGAGTTGGCCTCCTATTTCCAGAGGCCCTTTAATCATTTGGATTTCAACTCTAGTGAAAATGACTGCACCACCTTCTGTAGTCAGAGAGTTAGGACCTGGATTCCATCCACTGTGAGTGAAAACACTGGCTCAGGGGAGGATCCTTGGCTGCCACTTCGTAAACAGACTTTTGCTGAGAATTTCGGATGCACTTTGTCCCTAGGCCCAGACTCCTTGGTAATGCTAGAAATAGAACAGCAATTCTTTTTCTAAAACTATACTTATGTGTAAGGCTGTCTCTTTATGTGCAGAAGGGTACATAAGCAGGAGGCGTTGTTGCTGCCCTTCATATTCACACCAACATAAAAAATCTTCTTAAGCAAAGCATGAACCTCTTCTTCGAATATGTGTCCTTATATTCCTTCCATGACATTTATTTATTTCAGTAGTTCCATAGCAACTACAGCCAAGAAATTGCCCCAGATTTACAGGGTTTCTATATTGTATCACATTATACTAAATGGAAAAAAAAGCAATGATAAAAATTCTATTAATCAGATTGAGCACTTATATTAATATATGTAAATAATTTCATGTATACAAAATATCGCAACTGCTTATTCCTTATCTTTGAAGACCTGGAAGAAATTAATATCTCCCTTTCATAAATGAGGACACCGATACTCAGGAGCTAAATGATTTACCCAAGGTCACACCAGGAGAGCTAGAATTAGGATAAATACATTCTATTTATATCACTTCCCAACAAAGTTTTAGTGATCTTTATTTTAATCTGTTTACATATTCAAATATATAAGAATAACCAAAACTAGGCTTTCAAGAGACATATCACCAAAGAAGAGAAGCATCTCATTGATTTTGCTAATAATTACAGAAACCTAAAATAACTATGACATAATGTGCTTATTACATTTGTTCAAAAAATATAAATAAACTTCTCCCATAGGGGATAGATTGCATTTTAACATATAGTTTCATTATTGTTGATGGTTCTATAAGTTAGAAAAATATTTCTAAAGAAATCTAGCAAGGTAACACAAAAGTCTTCCAGATTAAATTTGATTTGGTAATACAAATCAAAGAATTTATGCTAAGGATGTAATTCAAAATAAAAAATAAAGTTTTTATTAACTATAGGTACGTTATTTACAATTCTAAAAGACTGCAAAACACACAATATCTTTTGACTGGCAAATGGTTTTAAAATGAAGTGTGTAATCTAAATGTAAAACTAAACAGATAAAAAGTTAAAAATGAATACTAACAATGCAAAACTATATGAACATTTGTATTAGGTTCATAAATAAAAAATAGAAAACAAAATATGTAAAATGATTAAAGAGAATTACAATGCTATACTGAATCAGACTGTTTAATCATACCTACTTAAGCATGAGAATTAAGAACAAACTCAATAAACCACGGGAAAATATTAAAAATCATTGAACCAAAGCTGAAGACATTGCTGGTGCATTTTCCCTCAAAATCACGTAAATATTTCATTTTAATAGGATCTTAAGTTGATCAACAACCAATTTAGGCAGAAGTAAATTTAATTTATACTAGACTGGTCTCATTCCTGAACTCAGAGTATCAAACATAGTGGTCCTTATACAAAAATAATTAAGCCACCATCTTGAATATTCTCATTCCATCAATTAAAAAAAAAAAAAAAAAGACACACTGACTGATGGCCAAGGATTAGGTTTGCTCTGCTTTGTATGGAATACCTTTTAGACATCAGTTTTCAACAGTGTAACCAAAGGCAATTTTGCTGGATCACATAGAAAATGCCTCCAGTTCTAAGACTTTTGGTTCCAAGAGAGACGCACAGTTCTAGGATCCTCCTTAATGCAAACTATCTTCAAAGCAAACTTGTTTTATTTCATTTGCCCAGTTTCCTCAACCTCCATACACTTCTAGTATGCGGCCTATTGGACTTATAAAAGTTCAGAAGAAATTAAAGTTCTGATACATCCATCTGAGGGCTTGAGGGCTGTGCTAAACTCGAATCAATATTGAACAAGGGTCTTTGAGTAAAGCTTAACTGAATTCTGATAAGAATTAAATTACATTTTAGAGTCACCACAAATAGATCTCATTAAAGAAAAACCTTGATTAAATGTTCTTATGAGGAAAATAAGTAAAAAAAAAAGGTTAGAATTTCCATTATTTGAATTCATCCAGCTCTTCCAAGTATGTAATTAAACCTCTCCCAGATAGTTTTCCTTGTCATAAGCATAGTATAGTAACAACAAACCAAAGAAGAAGGGGCTGGCGTCCTACAGAATCACAGAGACCCATCCTATGCCTGGAATGGAGATAGAAACTTGAACCCACACACTACAGAAACCTATTATTTAGTCAGATTAGACCTTCTCCAGTTTTGTTACACACTCAGAAAAGCAAGCAAACATGTAAAAATGGGAAGAGTATGTCTGAGAGGTTATAATTTCCTAAAGCCCAGTGAATTTCACCGCACATGTAAGGTTCCCACATTCAGAAATATTAAACAGGTCCAGAAACTTCATTAAAGTTAATCCCAGAATAACATTTATTCTACTACTTTCCCTGAAGAGGCCCAGTGTGCTTTACAAGGATTGTCTCATTTCTTCTTCATGAGCCTTTGGGGAAAATAACTGCCATCGTCCCCATTATATAGATGAGGCAACTAATACTTAGAAAGAATAAATAACTTTCCCAAGGAGAAGAAGCATTAAGTGATGGAACCAAATTCAAACTCATGTTCTTCCCACCCTGTTACATTGTTTCCCAATACTGTCTATATGATTTCTAGCTAACAAGGGTTGAAACAAAACAACTGAAGAAGGCTGCCACAGTAGCATCATTAAAGTAGCAAAAATCAACCATGGAGTCAAAAAGGGATAAAAAATAGACACAAGAGCTATAAAATAACACAGCAGTATGTATTTACTTGGTGTAAGGACAATCCTGGGTGCCTCTATACACTCTGCCAACATCACTACCTTAGGGCTCATGGCAATAAATAACTTCATAGACGTGGTCCCAAGCCATTGCGAATGACACCCGGTTTAGTCTGTTTCAAGAGGCAAGGAAGTATGTAATGCCTTTCTTTTTTCAATACAGATTTCAAAGGGTGATATTTGAAATATTCTGATATTCTAAAGAGGTAAGCTTTTGTTTACTAGACTTCCCCTTGTGCATAATTGCTCCTTCTAGATCAACAGTACATTACTGTACTGTTGTGTACTGTTATGAACCTGCTCTGTCCTCCACTGAATGTGTAGAATCTCCTAGAAGAAAGGTTCTTCTGTACTGTTTTATAGATTGTGCCTTCCACTCCAAACATCCTGAGTCATGTTCCTTTTATACTTGCATGTGAGATGAGAGTCAGAGCACTGACCTCAAAGCCAGCGACTGGGTTCTACTGTTCCTTTCTGCAAGAGCTTAGACTATGAGACTCAACCTCCTTAGTTGATTAACGGAAAATCCCCACCATGCCAATCTTGCAGAGGATAGGGGTGGCTGTATGTAGGAAAACGAAAACCACGTAGCATCTGCAAAGAATCTAAGACTGTGGAGTGTGAATAACGGAATGCAGCCTTGGTTCTGACACTAATGATAGGTCATACGAAGTCGCTTTCCTCCTCTCCATGTCTTGGCATTCTCATTGCTAAAGAGGGTAATTACGCAAACGATTTTAAGATTTTTTTTTTCCAACTCTACCACTGTATGGCTCTACATGTGTTTAAGTTACCTTTGGAAAGAAATGATGTTACGTGTGTTTAAGTTACCTTTGGAAAGAAAATGAAATAAAATTGAACCTAAGACAGATGCAAAGCCACATTTAATCCTACAAAGTCTTAATCTTGACAAACTTCCAGATCTGTGCTACAGACCCCAAGGTTACAAGGAGTTAGAGCTGCCAAGTTATAGGAAAATACCAACCAGGCCCAAAAAGTCTTCAATAAATGTGAACCTTGTAAAGCCGAGTATGACTCCCAATACCTTGGTGAAGAAACCAAGGTTTCTTTTATGTTGAAATCCCTGGGCACTGACGGACAAACCATGACTGTTTTGTGGGTTTACATAACAAACAAATAAAAACACTACTTTTCCCATCAACATGTGTTAAACAAAGATTAAAATCATGCTGAAGGATAGCAAAGAAACTTACACTAGATGAAAAAAGCCTGTGTTCATCAAATTATTCTAACAGAGAATAGTTTAATAGGTAGATTAAGTAAGGAGCATTGCAAAAACTCTAAGGTAACATGACTGAGAATTTTTTAGTTACCCAGGGATATTATTAAAATATAGTTTTGTGTTCTGTAATAAAAGAAAACAATGATTAGCTCAGTCAGCATTATTGTTCATTTCTCTCCAAGGTGCTTTATAAAAAACAGTTCCCCTGTTTACATCATTGCACCTGTTGGATAAGAGGGGGAAGAAACATTTTGGTAGATAAAAAGTGACTCAAAGGGCCCAGTATTCCGGAAGAGAACTGACAAGTCCAGAGATTCTGTAAAGTTTCCCTGAAAATACTGGGCACTTCAAATGTAGGGTGAGATCTTATAAGAGGTGTGAGTCAGCTACTTGGAAAGCTTTCTGATGCTTCAAGAAAGAAAATTTTAGCTTGTACATACATGCTTAAAAGCCACAGGCTAATGATCTTCCCAGCAGACCAGTAACTGAAGGGCAGTCCCATGCTAATACACCTTTCTGATCGCATATGAATGGGGGATGTGTAGAAAAAAATTACAATATGCTAATTTACGCACGCACGCACACACACACCACACACATTTTGAAGTCTAGGAAGAAGTAAAGATCTGATGGCTATATTCCATGTGGAGTGACTGCCATTCAGCCACAGAAGACATCTTTGCAAAGCGTTTGAGGAACAAATCTGGAACTTACAATGTAGCAGGGCTCGCAGTATGCTTTCTTTTCCACAGCATAGAACGGCTGCCCTCGGAGCTTGTTGTTGCAGATGATGCAGGTAAAACAATCCACGTGGAAGACCTGATCCATGGCAGTGCATCCTGTACCTTCCCCAACTACGTTTTCTCCACACCGAGCACAGCGGCCTGGAAAAAAAAAGGGGTTTGATAAGAACACACCAGGGAGCACTTCAGTCCTGCTAAAGCCAAAGTGGAGGAGAGAGCAGGTTCACAACACCAGTGGCAACAGAACCACCACACCTGCCGTCATTACCCCAGTACTATTACCCCATTACCCCAGCAAGATGACCAGTACAGCCACCCCATCCTCTGCAAGATTGGCATGGTGGGGATTTTCCATTAAGCAGCTGAGGAAGTTGAGTCTCATAGTCTAAGTTCTTGCAGAAAGGAACAGTAGAACCCAGTCGCTGGCTTTGAGGTCAGTGCTCTGACTCTCATCTCACATGCAAGTATAAAAGGAACATGACTCAGGATGTTTGGAGTGGAAGGCACAATCTATAAAACAGTACAGAAGAACCTTTCTTCTTGGAGATTCTACACATTCAGTTAGAATATAGGATAACTGGGTCCAAACTCAAATTTTAGTTCCTTTTACAAAAGCCCTGATTGTAAAACCTCTGCAGCCAGCCCTCTGTGACAGGCAGATCACGAGGCAGTCCTTTAATTTCTAGATCGCTTTGAAGGCTAAAAGTTTCTTTCTCCTATCGAGCCATAATGCTTCCTTATTCTAACTGCTTACCCCATGGTTCTAGTTCTGTCTTCTGAGACCTTATCTCTCTCTTGGACTTGACACCCTTTAACACATCAAAATTCAGTGAACATTGCTTCCAAGTCTGTTATTCCTTTGAACATCCACACATCCTGCAATAGTTTCATATACTGTAGGGTTTTGAGTCTCTCAGGGCCACGGTTCTCGTTGTTCATGCAATGAGTATTCTGCAAAGCTCCAGCATTCTTAAATTGATTAATGTGGCATCTGGCCTACATATGGACATCAGGTTTCAGTTTTTAAAATCTGTCGTAAGCTTTAAATAATAACAATAAAATATAAATTCAGACAAATATTTATATCAGTGAGAGGCATTATGCTGGTTGGCATCCATATCTCTATCTGCCTCCATCATGGGAATCTTGACCCAGACGTCAGGTCCACATCTAGTTTCCTTTCCTAGTCTTTGTTTCTACTAAGTTAAAAAAAGTTCTATCTAATAGTTATAGAACACTGGGAATGTCAGTCAGAAGCTGTAGGCTTTGATAGATAAGGTATAGCAAATGCAGTGCTTCACATACATCAGACGTTTTTCTAGGGGCTTTAGATATAATAATTCATTCCATATTCACAACGATGTATAGGCAGGTACTGTTATTATGCCTACTTTACAGATGAGGAAACTGAGTCACACAAATGGTTAACTAACTTCCAGCCTAAGCAGTCTAACTTCAGCATCTATGCTCTTAACCACTATGCTATAGTGCCTATTCCCAGTTGTGTGCATCAGGATTAACACAGATCTGACATGAGGGAGCATTACAGAGAGACTTGTCACCGAAGACTGCTTTCAGCAGTCCATCACATTGGATTGACAGCCATTTCACACTCAAACATAGGAGGGCTAGATGTTTCAACCTGAGAGAAAACAAGGTAAATTTATTTCTAATTCTCTCCAGTTGTATTTGGCTCTGAAAAGTATTTCTTTATATCCTGTTGCGAGATTTGAATGCGACTTTAAACATAACCCAAAGTATACACTTTAAGTTTTTTTTTTTTCCTAAGGAATAAGAAATATGAAGGCTGGGTGTGGTGGCTCATGCCTGCAATCCCAGCACTTTGGGAGGCTGAGGTGGGCGGATCACCTGAGGTGAGGAGTTCAAGACCAGCCTGGTCAACATGGTGAAATCCCGTCTCTATGAAAAATACAAAAACTAGCTGGCCATGGTGGTGCGTGCCTGTAACCACAGCTACTCAGGAGGCTGAGGCAGGAGAATTGCTTGAACCTGGGAGGCAGAGGTTGCAGTGAGCCAAGATCACCCCCACTGCACTCCAGCCTGCAAGAAAGGGAAAAAACCCCTCCAAAAAAAAAAAAAAAGAAAAAAAAAGAAATATGAAGTGCTGGAAAAAGAGTTAAAGTATTGGAAACTAAGCTGTCACCACTACAGTTGATATCATTATAAAGTCTTGATACCACAGTCTTGACATTTGATGAAAAAATTTTGTATAATATTTGTTTGTGGCAGACTTTAAAAGTTTTTATCCAAGACTGAACTTGTACCTGTTTTTATTATGAGATAACATTTTGGACTTTCCTGCCAACAGTAACATAACTATTTCATATGGCACTATTTTTGTAATTATTCTGAAAAGGAAAAAAACCAAAACCACACACACACAAAACTGTGCTATGTTTGAAAATTGTGCTTAAATTCTAGCAGCTTCATGCCACCTTTTGACAACATTTCATTGCAGAAAACGAATTAGGGATTAGGAGTAAATGGATTAACAATCCATATGATTATTAAAAATATATTAGATTCCTGTGAAAGCTGTAATTTTACATTTCACATTCGTTAAATGCAGGCAGGTCAACAAAATCCTTTTTCTACATTACTCTTTCCTTTTCTAGGTGTCCAGCAGATTCACTACATAGTACATGAGGGGCTATCAGGGATCTGTGGACCACACTTCCCCCCCTCCCCAAAAGTAGTTCTCATTAAATATTAAACTATTGGTAATGGCAGTCTACTAAGCAGCTGAAGTAGCAATTTTGATTCAGACTATGATGCCCAAAGTGTAATACCTGGAATCCAAGAACCTGTGCCTACATGGTTTATGGAGAGTTTGATAGCTATCCATGAGGATCTGGGAGCAAACTTCAATCACTGATTTAGAGGGAATGGCCACAGCAAAGCCTTAAAGGTCAGGCTGAAAAGATAAGCTTTGAAATGGTCCATCTATTCAACCTCAAGTATCTACTCTTGCCCACAACTATGTTCTGCTTCTGTGTGATATACAAAAATGAATTCAACGATGTCAGTGCCTCTCCCAGTCAAGACAACCTACATGCAATAGTCACATGACAAAGCATGTCACACGTCTTAGAAGCAAGTGCTACGGAATGTGGAAGGAAAACCGCATTCACCGGGGCTCAGGAAAGGTTTTGTGGAGAAAGAAGCATTTGAACCCAACCTTCAAGGTTGGAATTTTGACAGGTAGGGGTGGAAGACGGAAACACATTCTAGTTTTCCCTCACAGAGAGAATGGGTGACTATGGCTTGGATACCAAAACAATGCAGTGGCTCTGTGATGGCATGACATGGTTTTGCCTTCTTAGCTATGAAAACAGATGGACTGTCTTCCTAAGGAATGATCTATTTTATGCTTTGGAGAATATTCCTCCAGAGTGGGTCAGCCTAATATGCTGGACCCAGACATAGCTAGTTCTGCTGCCTCTCATTATTTTTTCTATTCTTGGTATACACTGGGGACACCAGCCTTGAGGGCGACCAGTCTGGCAACTTTAAATCACAAGTACAGAAAAAGAGCAAAGAACAAAAAATAAAAATAGCCCCACACATCAGCAGGACAGAAAAGGTACCCAAATCTTTCCTTTTCACATGAACAAACATTTACAAACTATGTCCTTTAGGGAGAGATTCAGAATGGAGAGAAAGTTACTCAAGCATAGCGTATGCTTGCCTCTAGAAGGACTTACATCACACATTATTAAAAGCACACCACAATCTTAACGCCCATCTTTTAGACAAGTATCTCGGCACTTTTAAACATGAGAAACCAGGAGAATAGTACCGAACTTCAAGGCATTGGAGCACAAAGGAAACACAGTCGATTAGCTCAGACCAGGGCTGGTGTGAAGAGCTGGTCGGCAATGCTGAGCACAGTCAATCAAAAGATCCTATGACAGAGGGTCGGCAGCCTATGGGGAACTTTGTCAGTGAATTAAGATTTCCAAACAAAACAAAAAAGGGTGTTTATATATTATTACTTATTTTATATATTGCTTTGTACTGACTCTAGATTCAGCCATCAATTCTTACCCTTCACCTCCGCTCTCCCATCTACAGCAACCTCAGCAATGTCTTGGAAATGCCTGCTTTCCACCACACGCCTACTACCCAATCACGCTTCCTTTCAAGGGCTATTGCAATGGCTTCCTGATTGTTCTGATATCTCTGATTTCCTTCCTCTTACCAACAGAAAGGCTTTACAGAAGTCTTAGTAATGGAGCTAATCTGAAGAGTTAGAATGTTAACAAGTCATTTTTATGAACGGCATGGGTGAAGAGTGGCATTCCAGGCAAATCTACAGGTTGAACAAGGGAAGTAGAATAGTGTGATATGGGTTTTCAAGTTTTTTTATAAAATTTTATTTATTTATTTATTTTTTTTTTACAGGATCTCATTCTGTTGCCCAGGCTGGAAAGCAATAGTGCAATCATGGCTCACTACACCCTTGAACTCCTGGGCTCAAGTGATCCTCCTCCCTCAGCCCTTGCCACCAAGCCCAGCTAATTTTTAATTTTTTCCTATAGAGATAGGGTCTTGTCGTGCTTCCCAGGCTGGTCTCGAGCTCCTGGGCTCATGCAGTCCTTCAACCTTGGCCTCCCAAGGTGCCGGGATTACAGGCATGAACCACTGCACCAGGCTGGCTTGTCATATTTATTTTCTCTTTTGGTAATATGAATTTGTTTCTTTCATGATGGCAAAATAAACTTTTTATTTAAAATGTTTTTCCTGTGATCACTACACAACTGATAAAAATAAGCCACAGACCCTCTTTTGCAAGCAGTGCTTGTTTTGAGGCAGGACCAAAGCTGTCCATAGCCATTTTGGGAGTTGATGCCATGGTGACTGGGGATGACATATTCCCAAACTTTCCCATTATTCACCATCAAATGTAAAGTATTAAATATGGGCAGACATCAAGCCAGGTCACATTTGTCTTCATGTCTTCCTTGCTACTTGAATTATAATAGACATTTTAAGCACAAGCAAAATTAATATTGTACCTTTAAATATGATAATGAATGGAAGCTCTATATGCCAATTGTATGATATATCAGCATTCCCATTAAGCACATTCTTCAATATATTCTGAAAAAAGTCTTGGT